TATATATATATATATCATCATGAACAGGAAAGACTGATTTCATTATTGGACATGGACGTAGTTCAAATTTTATGATCAGTTTTCAAAAGTTTGGTTACGTCAATAATATTCCAACAAATCTAAACAAAGGTGACCACCTTGTACCTACGGTTCTACTCTAATGTTAGCCCCAACAAACAGACAAACAAGAACACATCACAGCTATAATGTGTTGATAGGTTAGATTGAAAGGTTGTTGATCATTAAAATATTTTGGTTCAAATTATATTAATTAATTGGTACTAGAAGATCCCAGCATCATCGAATTATATTATATATAATAGTTAGAAAGAAAACTGCTTCCCCTTTTCTGCATGAGAACCATAGCTCCATAAAAGTCAGAAGGCTGGTACACCATATCGGCATAATTTAACCTCATCTCATGACCCACCAAGTTTTTTTTTTTTTTAATCAATTTCTGTAATGCAAAAAAAAAAAAAAAAAAAGAAAAAAAGAGAGAGAGAGAGAGATCTAAACTTTTTATTTGAAAATGCTTGTATCCCAAGTAATTGCTTGTTTTCTAATTTGTTTGGGGGTATAAATAGCTCTTGGTTAGCCTCTAGTGATTAGGTAAAACATCTTTTCGTTTGATGGATATGAGTCTTGATAAGATCCTGAACCTTTTTTTTTTTTAAAAAAAAAAAAGAATTGAAAGTTCAAGCAGATAAAAAATTATATATGTGTGTAGCTTGGATTCAAAGCCACTTTATATCATATTTGTTTTACGTGTAGAAAGTAATTTATCCTTTTATGAATCAATGTGTGTATTTTTTTTTTTCATTTGATTGTCAAGGGTATATATGTTTAGATTAGTTTGTATATTAATTAAAATTAAGATTTTTCTCTATCGATTTAATTTAATAGCATATATTTTCCATCAGTAATATATTCAAAAAAAATTTACAAATACATATAAATACTAATTCTAAAATTTGAACTCGTAAAATCTATGAAATAGACATAGATTCTCACTGGCCATAAACAATAAGGTATGTTTTGTCTAGATTGTCAATTAGTTAATTACTTTTCTCTTTTCTAATTCTATGTTTCACTTTAAAGTTTAATGGCTCGACCAGAAGATGTCAAAAAACAATCAGATATTTGATAGGTCCACAAGCAAAATTATCTTAAAACTATGCTTATCAGCTTATGGCAATGCATATTAAAACTATGCTATGATTTTTCTAACTCCTGACCATATAACAAGTAGTAAAGATGTCAAAATCAGTATGGAATAATTAAGATGATTTAATCCTAACCTACTTTCTTTGATTTAAGAAAAGGAAAGAGCATAGATGAAGCATAGAGACACAAAGGGTAGGGTCATGGCACTACATCAACGTGAAAGTGAAAGCAACTAAGGAAATGGTCGGCTAAGAGTGCTTGCCTTTTTGGCAAGTTGTTCTCTCACCTTTGAGGCATCCACGCACACCATTATCCCCTGCTAATCCGTATTACGACAAGTCTAAGGGTTTTCCCAAAGTAAGGTGATGATAGCAATTTTTTCTTTCTTTGTTTCAAAATTATTTCAAAATGATCAATACATATGGATCTCTGTGTTCAAAATATGCATTTTATTTATATCAAGACACTATATAATTTTGAAATTTTTTATTGAGCTTTAAATTTTTTCTGTCTAATTTAAAAGTTTTACTCATATATTATTGTTGTTTCAAACCTTAATGTGTCACGTATCGATCTCTAGCTAATAACAACTTGTCACGTAATAATTTTTTCTTTACATAAAAATTTCATGTGTGCTTAAGTGGCACATTGGGGTTTAAAACAACAACAACATAAGAGTAAAATTCGTAAATTAGATAAAAAAAAATTAGGATCTCATTAAAAAAAAATTAAATTATATGAAATCTCAATATATGTAAAATCCTTCAATATATATGGAACTAGTATTTTATATTCGTCGAAATTTAACTTTTAATGATGAGTTAATATAAAACATAACTTGAAGTCATATGCTACAATATATGTAATTCCTTTTGGATTTAGATTGAGAATGAAGTGGAGGCAAGTTTATCATTGTTTATCCAACCAATGTCCTTTGGATCCTTCCATTGAGGATGGATTAAACTATAAATTAGTTTCTTTAGTTTTTTAAATGAGATTGAATAATATTTTTAGTTTCAATAACTAATTATCTAGTTTATATATTTTTAAATTTATTTATAACTTAATTATTTCTATTATTTTTCAATTTATTTTGTTTTAATAGATAAAAAATAAAAATATTGAGAGAAAATAAGATATTCTTTATAACAAAACAATATTAAATTAATTATGGTCAAAATTAGTCAAAGAGCTAAATAATTAATTTTTAAAACAAAAAAAAATTTAATTTATTTTACAAAACTAGAAAAACTAATTTATAACATAATCGTTGAGGATGAAAAGCAATTCATCATAGTTTTAATTAATGAATTTGAGTTTGAAGGTGGCTCAATTATTCAAAATTATCATAACTGAATTGAGAAAACACATGATTGTTCAATTATATTCCAAAATAGAAAAAAATAATAACATAAAATTTAAACAATTTTTTTTCGTCCACAAATTAATAAGAAAATAAACATGAGATTCCGAACCCAAAAAAAAAAAAAAATCATAAGGGCAATTTGGTATCTAACCTAAGTAAATGCTATTTATGGCTGGACCGAACGCCATAGACTAAAATAAAATTATTGCATCATCGATTGTCCTTTGTGGCCTCACACAAAACTTGTTTGGTAAGCTTTCATTTTTGAGTTATAATTGATCCATGATGTGTGCAAGGAAGCAGGTGGCTCCATGACATCAAGGTACAATTATTACTATTATTATTTTGACCTAACAAAGCAATTTAAATCAAATTAAAGATTAAAAATAGATATAGACAAAGAAAAAGTGAAATCAATTATATATATATATATATATACATATTAGTCTTTATTGTTTTGAGAAATGAATTAATTAATCATTTTTATTTTAAAAATTAATTATTTAATTTTTTTAATTAGTATTGATCACAACTAATTTAATTTTATTTTATTTTGATAAAATACTTTTTTCATTCATCTTTTCATATATTTATTTATTTATTATTTATTAAAAAACTAAAATAAATTAAAAAATAATAAAAAAATTAAATAATTAATTTTTGAAACTAAAGATATTAATTAATTTGTTTCTCGAATTGAGAGATTAATTTATAATTTACTTGGCAGAAAATAAAATATCTCTGGTGTGTTTACTTCGGGCAGAAAATTGAAATAAAGATTAAATTTAGTCAAATTGTTCAAAATTCCTCTTTATCAAGTTTTTATTTTTTTAATTTCTCGCACCACCATTTCAAAATTATCAACAAACACTCCTAGAAATTAGTTTCTTTTGTAGTCTAAAAGCACTTACAAAATCCCTTTCAATTATAATGCCAAGTACATTCATATAATTTTTTTAAAAAAAAATTAAAATTCAATAAACAAACTAAAAAACGAAATAAAAAATCAATATCCCATCAAAAAATTTCAAATGAAATTGCAAATAATAATAGTAAAAAAAAATGGCAGGTCAATTTTGTTAGGCAGGTTGTTTGTCTTTTATCTTGTTGACAAGTGTCAAAATTATAAGGGTTAAAAGTATCTGTCAGTTTGCTATTTGCATTGACTAATATCACTGACTGACAAAATGATTTTGGTATACAAGTACGCAGACCTCTCTCACTTCTTCTACAGTACTTCCAAGTTCATACAAAGCAAAGATCATCAACAACAACAAGAACCGTGTCACTTTCCCTACAAGAAAGATTTATGGGTTCTTTGACAGTTTGTGAATTGTGGTGGAAAATGGCTGTAGGACCATTTGCAAAAGTAGAAAATGTTGTTAAGAATTTCAACTGAGAAACCACCCCACTCTCGCCCTTTGATTTGATTTCCCTTTTTCTCTCCTTCTCTCTCTCTCTCTAGCTGTCTTAAAAACATTTTCTTTCTTCTTTGGTTTTGTGGGTCTTAAGGAAGGTTAGACATAGTAATATAACTGTAGTGCATGATCTAAAATTCCAAAAAAGCTCACTCTGTCGGCATTTTTTGCTCTCCTTTTAGCCTGGATTCGAGTAGGATTCAATCCAAGTACTTGTCTTTTTTGGGTCTCTCTCTTTTTATCTTATCTCTTTTTGTATATTGTTCTTATGTTGACTGTTACAACACTAGTTTTGTTTTGTCAAAGTAAAAAGTTCAGTGTTTTTTGCAGGATTGGTTGCTGTTGAAGTGATGATGGAAAGTATGACCTTTTGTGTCATGTGATTCTTCTTTTTGTGACTATGTATTTATGGGAATTACGTTCCGTAACTGATCTTGGATTCATCAGATTCTATTGTTCTGCAGATTCTTAATTTGTTTCAGGTCAGGTTCTGTCTGGAACTTATGTTTTGCTGTTTTAACGCTGCGTCAGAGAATTGTGTCATATAATCTGAGTATGATTTCAAGCTGAAGTTGGAGACTTTTTTTCCCCTGAAGATTTCAATTTTTGTTTTTCTTCTGTTGATAGTTTTGGGTTTTTGGGGTGAGATGTGAGGGACTGATGATTACATCATATGTGAACCTGGCTAAATTTGTATTTATGGAGAGCGATTCTGGATTGGCTATTATTGGCTTGAATTTCCAGTTCTCTTGATTGGATTGTGGTCCTTTTATTTTCTTGATCTAATTTATATCTTTTTATACATTTGATGAGCTTAATTATACTTCCTCTTTACCTTGATGACTGCCATGCTCGGTTGAATTGCTGCCTCCATATTTAGAAATTCTCAGGGATCTTTTGAAATATACTTCCAATATTGAATGAGTTTGTTATTGTAAATAATGTCCTAAATACGTATTCTATTTCTTTTCCTATCCTGAATTTGTTCTGGCGCCCATGAATTATTCAACAGGAAAAATTCACCAGCCTGCTAGTGTAAAACATTTTGCACTATGGGTTGGTGGACCAAGATCCTCAAAGGTTCAAGCAATAGAGGGCAGTATCATGGGAGATATGGACAAGACAGATATTGGGATGAGCCTCGCCGATCAGTGGTAATCACTGTGTCTGCACTTTTTTAACTGTTCGCGTTTGCTTATACTTGCCCATGATATGATGCTGGCCTGGTCTTTCTGACCGGAGCTGGTTGGTGGGATAAATGTTGTGTGGTTAGTTTATGAAACAGATGGGATGCTGTAATCTTCTTGCATAATTATATGCTGGAACTTTTCTTTTAAAAATTTGTTCTAATTTTTTTTTGCTGAGCTAACTGTGTTAACTGACAACTTGATGCAGGATGATTCGTCAGATTTTGACAAAGAAGAAATTGAATGTGCTATTGCAATTTCCCTTTCTGAAGAAAATCAGAAAGGGAAAAAAGTAATTGGTAAGTTGCTAAGCTATAAGCACTGATTAGGTTATTACTCCCAATTTTGATTTGTAAACTTACATTTACTGTGCAACATGACTGTTGATTCAATGTTTCAAGCAGCTTTGGATAAGATATAGGAAAGAAGTAACAAATGGTTATAGTTTAAGTGTGCCCTCGTGCGTGCTGTATTTTATTTCTGTATCTGGCATTATGTAAGCTGAATTTGACAACAATACATATAATTATTTTTTGCTCAATTATGCCTACACTTTACACAAATAGAAGGATTTCATTCTGGATAATAAATCACTTTAAAGGTTTCATAAAAATAATGATATAGTCCTCTTCATTTAAAATGAACCATAGCTCGATACAGATTGGTAAACAAGTGTGAACCTAGAGGAAGATAGCAGCATTTATCCTTTTCTTTTGTATATACTGATGATTGATTGTGTCAGTTATGCCCCCTTATTTTTATCTTGTTTACTTTTGAATTATCAAGTAAAAGAATTTATTTGAACCAGAGGAAGATACTGAGTCTGATCGGTCGGAGGAAGATTACAAGCCTTACCAGTCAGAGGAAGATAACAAGCCCCACCAGCCAGAGGATGATGAGAATGATGTGAAAGTTCAATTGGAAGAAGATGAGCAACTTGCCAAAGCTATTCAAGAAAGCTTATTTGTGGAGTCTCCTCCTCGAGCTCAATATGACAGTGGAAATGTAGCTCCACCGTATCCATTCCTTATTCCATCTAGTTACAGGTAACCGTTTGTGTGGAACAGTCATTTGTCTTCATGTCCAATGATCTAACATGCATTCCGATCAGATTCAAAAGGATAAATAATTATTCGTCCTCGTAATAAACTCTTTCAGTAGAGTGATTGTTTGGTTACCTTGATAAATGAAGTGCATAGCCCCATGAGATAAAATGAACCCATACATATTTTATGAGATCCACTTATAGTTATATGGTCTCTATCAAATTAGCCAGACATTTGAGCTTGCATCTTTCCATCAAAGGGACAAAATGAAGCTAGTTAAGAAAACAGTGGAGGTGCTATGTATTCTTTGAACATGGAATCGTAGGTAAACATCTTTCAGATATGATGTCGCTTGCCTGTTGCCTAAAATTCTTTCTGCATATCACATTTCAGAGACATCATATTTGATTGCTAAAATTTATTGCTTCTAGGATCTGTGCTGGGTGCAACATGGAGATTGGTCATGGACGGTATTTGAGTTGCATGGGCGGTTTTTGGCATCCTAATTGTTTTTGTTGCGAGGCTTGCAATCTGCCAATTACGGATTATGAGGTCTAATTCTAATCTTATTCAAGTGAATTGATACTTCTGTCTGTAATTGATTGTCAGTGCCTTTGAGTTCTTAACTGATGCCCTTTATTTTGGTTGAGTATCTAGTAGCTGGTGTATGTTTACTAACTCACTCTCAAATTCATTCATTTTATAGTTTTCAATGTCTGGGAATCGTCCTTATCACAAATCCTGCTATAGGGAGCAGCATCATCCAAGATGTGATGTTTGCAACAACTTTGTAAGTATTTATATGACAGAAACACACAATCCCTTCTTCTGGTGTAGTAACATGTCAGAATTGATTCAAGGCTTCGTTGAGTAGATGAACAATGAAGCCAAGCTACTGCAAACCATATTAAGGCTTCATTCTAACCAGATTAACTTACTATATAATAAGCAGCTTTATGTTAGAGAGAAACCATAGCAAATATTAAACCCGCATAATTTTCATTGAATCCATCTTGTTTTCCAAAGAAGAATCACTGTTTCTCCTAATTTCAATGATATATCATCCAAAACCAGAACATTAAAATATTCCATCATATTGCTTCTATAACCCCCTTGATTTCAGGCTGACCTTTAAACTTTTCCTTCCATTTCTTTTTGTACAGATTCCTACAAATTCGGCTGGTCTCATTGAGTATAGGGCTCATCCTTTCTGGCTACAAAAATACTGCCCCTCGCATGAGCGTGACGGAACTCCTCGTTGCTGTAGTTGTGAGAGAATGGAGGTGAGTTGAGAAAATTTGAATCTGCATTCCCTTGGTCCATAATAAAAGAGAAGGGAGGGGAAACAAAGGAGCTTAGAAAGAAAATGTAAAATGTAGTTTTCTAAAAAGTGGTTTGAATTTTATAATAACATATTTTTTTCCCACTCAATGCAGCCTAGGGACACGAAATATCTATCACTTGATGATGGCAGGAAACTGTGTCTAGAGTGTCTAGACTCTGCCATAATGGATACCCACGAATGCCAACCTCTTTACTTTGAAATTCGAGAATTTTATGAAGGTTTAAATATGAAGGTGGAGCAGGAAATTCCTTTACTTTTGGTTGAGAGACCAGCTCTGAATGAGGCCATGGAGGGAGAAAAGAATGTAAGGCTGTTGTATTGAGGCCATCAATATTTAAGCATATTGTTTTATTATGTTTTCTTCTGGTTTTTATTTTAATTTTGTACATTTTTGTGGTCAGGGTCATCATCACTTGCCGGAAACCAGAGGACTCTGCTTGTCGGAAGAACAAACTGTTACCACTGTAATTTTTCTCTTCACGAGTCCTACTTAAACCACTGTTTTGTATTTTTAAAGTTGTCTGTTTGTTGGGTTGGAATTCTATATTTATTTGACCCCAATCACCAGGTTTTGAGGAGGCCAAGGATTGGAGCAGGTTACCGTTTCATAGACATAATAACGGAACCTTATAGGCTAAGCCGTAGGTGTGAAGTGACTGCAATTCTCATTTTGTTTGGCCTTCCCAGGTATTATCATTTATTTGTGTTGATCACTTGTCAGATTCATCATCATTGATGAATTTTGAGTTTTGTACCTGTCTGCATCCTTTACTTTCTATACATACAGGTTGTTGACGGGTTCGATTCTGGCTCATGAGATGATGCATGCTTGGCTTCGACTTAAAGGTTTCTCCATCCTATGATATATATATATGTATATATGGTCATGTGAAGCTACTCCTTATTTTCGTATGGTCAGCTGAGAAGTACAAATGTTGTCTTTGACAGGTTATCCTAATCTAAGTCCAGAGGTCGAAGAGGGTATATGTCAGGTGCTGGCTCATATGTGGCTAGATTCTGAGATATATTCTAGTTCGGGAAGTGAAGGTGCTTCGTCATCGTCATCAGCATCCTCATCCTCATCTTCACCATCTTCATCTTCTTCTGCATCATCAAAGAAAGGGCAGCGATCTGACTTTGAGAAGAAACTTGGGGAGTTTTTCAAACACCAGATCGAGTCAGACGCATCGCCAGCTTATGGAGAAGGATTCAGGATGGGTAATCAGGCAGTGCTGAAATTTGGCCTCAGGAGAACCCTTGACCATATTCGAATGACAGGAACCTTTCCCGTCTGATAAACTGATTGAATAGTTACAGCAATAATCGGTATTTTCTGGAACAAACACCCCACCCCTGCCATATAGTAAAAATTATACCATCAAGAGTCAAAAACCCACATAAAGAGGAATACACCAGGAGACTGTATAAGCAATAAAAATGATATCTGCCTTTGCGACATTATGGTAGAACTGTTAAAAAGTTGGCACAGCATAGATAGCATTTTATGACAAGCTATTGAAACGCTTCAGAAGATTGAATATATAAGAATGTGTATACATCGGTTTCTGTTCTCTTTACAACATTTTCCTATTCTTCATTGTTCGGTTTGAAGCAGCTTATTTACATTAGGGAAAAACTGAATTAATGGTTGGGTTGCGAAATTTTTTTTTTTTTTTTTTTTATGGTAAAAATATTTTTAAATTAGTTTACATGTTTTTTATTAAACACTTGTTATTTTATTTATTTATTTGAACTTAGATTTTTTTTTCAACAATAAAAATATTTTTGACCTATTTTGCACGTTAATCGAAATTAATTCTATTTCTAGTCGATATTAAAGATTTATCCTTCTATATTGACGATTTTAATGGTGTATCTTTTACACGATTTTGATACATTCAGAATAATTTAATAAATTCTTTCATATTGGTTTTAAGATTTAAATTCAGAAAAAAAAAAAACAAATTTTCTTGACCATTAAGTCCCTTTCTAAAAGTTATTATTATTGAAACTTCTGTATTATAAAATTTATCGAGCTCCTAATATACATTTGTTATCTTTAATTTTTTTTTTCCTTTTTCCTTAACATGGATTTAAGAATATATATATATATCATTACACCAGCATATTCATGTTTTACAACCTATGATGAGGTAGGCTTTCGATTTATAACTTTGGTCTTCAAGGAGACGAGCGGCGGAACCACGTTGTGCCTAGGGCCATGGCACTGCCAAAATTTGTCAAAAGTTTCATATTAGTCCTAAACTTTCAATTTGTTTCTAAATATATTCTTGAATTTAAAACTTAGTTAAAAAAAAAAAATCTACATTTTGCATAAACAAATAAATTATATTTTATAGCCATTACTAATTTATGCTATTTTCAAATGTATCCTAATAAATTTTATTTTTATTTTGGCACCCAATTTTTATAATCCTTGTTACGTCCCTTAAAGGAAACAAAGTGTGAATTAGATTTGAAATTCCTATTTGAAAATTTCAAGCTCAAACCTTGAAAACCACAAAATGGATTCAAAAGCAGAAAAAGATGACTTCTTATTTATTATATAGCACGAAGCCTATTATCCATATTAACATGTGACAACCATATTTGAAAATGGGTTAAAGGTTAAGGATGTTTTCTAATATTTCATTTATTTTAATCGTGTTTCTTTATTAATTTTTTTTATTATTAATCTCATCTCTTTATTGTTATTTTGCTTCTTAATTTTGTCCTTTCAAAATTTTCAAGTAACAAAGTCAATTTCTAGCCAAAGATGCACATGATGCTGAGACATAGTAATTTTTTTTATTAAAAAAAATTTTTGAAAAGAAAAATCCTAAAATTCTCTTTTTTTTTCTTAGTTTTTTGTTTTTGTTCCTTCCTATGTTGTGAACAAATTTTCTTTGGATTTGGATTTGGATTTGAAATAAATTTTCATAATAAATTTGTGAAATAAAAAAAAATTGCATTTGTTTCTTTCTAAACATTAAAAAAAAAATATTTCTTTTTTGGCTTGGATTTGAAAGAACGTAAATGGCAGAGAGAAAAAAAAAGACATTTTGGGATTTTTATTTTTTTCAGAAATTTATTTATTTTTTTTTAAAAAAGACACTTGTTGACATCTTGTGTGTTTATTGCTAGAAATTGATACTGTTATCTAAAAATTTGAATGAAAAAAACAAAATTAAGATGCACAATAATAATAGAGTGACAAAATTAATTAAAAATTTAATAAAACGACACAAATAAGACAAATGAAACAATAAAAAAATATCCTTAATGGTTGAACCATTTGATAATACACTCAGGATTGAGAAATTATTATTAGATTAATTCTATTTGATGCTGACTAATGTAATTGGCATGATTTGGACTCTACTTATCACCAATTAATCAAATTTTTTAAAGTCAATTTGAAGTATGAACTGGTCTGTCAAGAGTCAGGATTCCCAAAGAAAAAGAGGTGTTGAAGGTCAAGTCCTGGTGGACAATGCCCCGCTGAGCGGACGACTTGTCGTATGCATCTAGAAAGCTTTTAGAGATTATTATTAAAAAAATGCAAGCTTAAAAAGCCTACTTATGGTGCATGACTGTCGACGGTCTGTCGTTGAAGCCCTGTCGCCTCAACATAAGTACATAACGACATTTGAAAGAGTCCTTAAAAACTTAATTCAATCAAAACCCTTCATTTGTTCTTGAATCTTGGCGGGAATTTTGTAATAACATCCAAAATCACCACTAATCCACAACCATTCCTTCATGAAAACATTGTTCTATGTTTCTGACTCATGTACACCTGGTGTTTGATAAATTAACACAGTGAACTCCAAATTCACAATTTCCCTTCAATCATCACACTGTTTGCAATGAATATTACTCGCCTTTCGCGTGCTATAATCCACTTCAACCATCAAGTTCGCTACTTTGTCCGAGACCCATTTCCTAACAAGCTCACACATTACCTACGCCGTGCCGAATTAATTGATTCGATCAGACTTGGTCTTCGTTCAAAAAATCCTACTTCGCTCGAAAACATCATCAATACTCGTCTTATGGACACTTTTGTGGTCACTCAGGCTATACGTTCTGCTCCAAATGCAGATGCTGCGCTTTCTTTTGTGGATGCACTCAAAAGGATAGATAATGTTTCGCATCTTTCGCAGCAACAAGGTACCCTCCATGCGCTGGCCACGGTGCTAGCCAAGTGGCAGAGGGGTTTAGAATTGAAAGCATTGATTGGTGAAATTAATGAAGGGAAATATGGTAATGTTCACATTAGTTTTATGAACCTTATGCAATGGTATGCTGACCTTGGAGATTTACAGGCAGTTTTAGATGTTTGGAAGCAGTATAGGTACGGCGATAAGCGTCTGTGTACTCAGTCTTATAATATTGTTATGAGTTTGTATGCGCAGAAGGGGAAGGATTGTGAGGCTGTGGAGGTTTTTCATAGGATGATTAATGAAGGAGCAATTCCGAATTCTAGAACATATACGGTTATGATTGAGCATCTTGTTAATTCGGGGAAATTGGATCCTGCAATTGAGATTTTTAGTCTATTGCCATTGGTGAGGATTAAACGGAATTCAAAGCAGTATTTGCTTTTGGTGGAAGGGCTTGTGGGCGTGGAACGGTTTGATGAAGTGAAAACTCTGCTTGATGAAATGCGGGTTGATGGGAAGTTTCCTGGTCGTGCCATGCATAAGGCTCTGCAGTGTTTGCAGGAGGCAGGGTTTGTCGAGGAGACAGAAGAGTTTCTCAAGGAAATGTTTCCGGATGAGAGAATCAAGAGTATAAGCTCTTACAGGAATATAAGTCATGATGAGGAGACTGATGTGGATGAAAACCATGGTGATGCTGATGCAGACATGGAAGTAGTTCGGTTGAAACCATGGTTAGACCCCAAAGCTTTGGCCAAGGCCTTGAATAAATGGAGCCCTGATGTGGCGTCCCTGTTGGAAGATGCAAAATTTGTCTGGACCACTCGATTGGTTTGCAAAGTTCTTAGGAACTTTAATTCACCAGAAACAGCTTGGGATTTCTTCTGTTGGGTTGCTTATCAGCCAGGATTCACTCATGATGTGTATACAGTACAAAGGATGATGACACTTTTGGCAAAACATGGAAAGGTAGAATTAGTTGATCAACTCCTTACCAAGATAAGAACTGAGGGAATGAGGTTGCCTTTTAGCACCATCAGATTGATTATTGACTTCTGTGGTATTTCAAAGAATGCCGATGCTGCTCTAAAGGTCTTCCGGGAGGACAGAGCACTCTGTGGTACCATAAAAAAACGCAATTTGATGCTATTGTATTCATCTCTCTTACGAACATTGACCAAGTGCAAGAGAGATTCTGATGCCATTGATGTGCTTGAAGAGATGATTTTGTGTGGGATATGCCCAGATATTCAGACATTTTCTGGCTTGATGTATCACTTTGCATCACAAGGAGATATTAAAATCGTTCAGAAACTATTAACAATGGTTAGGCAGAACCACGTGGAACCAGATGCTTACATGTACAAAGTATTGATCCAAGCTTATTGCAAATGTGAGAGAGCTGCTCTTGCGTGGAGGATTTTTGAAGACATGAAGAACTCAAATTGGACACCTGATGCTGCAACAAAAGATTTGCTTGTGAAGAGCCTTTGGAAGGAAGGCAAGCGGAAAGAGGCTGCTGTTGTAGAAGAAAGCTGTCATGGAATAAATTCTGCCCTTCCACTTAAACAGCATGGTCATAAATGGACGCTGAGCTCTGAAGATCTCGCAAGAGTTTATAATATTTATTCCAACTGTTTTAAGTTGAGCACTAGCTAGAGTTTGCTATTGATTAGGAAAATATGCAGTGGTCTCTTTAAAAGCCATACGTTTGCATTACATCAGAGCGTGATTGAAAAATGACTTCTTTCTTTTACTCTTCAACAATCGAGTCTTAAATCTATTTTCTCTGATAAATTATGTAAAAATGATCTGCTGCTTAAAGAACAAAAATGACCCTAAGAGGTCATTAATTCCTGATGTTCACCATGTGGTCCACTGCATCAACTCAAATGCTATTAAGTAATCTTGATTCTAATACACGTTTTTGAACATTGTTACTGTGCTGAAGGGTGTTGCATTTTTCTTCATCTTTTACTCTTGAATTTATGCCCTTTGTTGAACTTATAACCGTATGAAGTAATTCTTTTTTTTTCTTTTCTTGTATTGATATTGGGATCAATCGTCCGCAGTGAACCTCTTTGAACAGCAGTTATTCGGTGCAAGCATCTGGAATTCAGTCTCTTGTCGCGTAAATTCGTTCTTTCCTGGAAGAAAATTAATGAGCCACATGTGAGTTTTCTTTGAACTGATTTTCTTTGCTTATTACTACTAACACATTTTTACATTGAAAAAAAATTGGACTTTTATATTGTTCCATGTATTTTTAAAGTAACAATAGTTTAGGAAAGAGAGAATTCTTATCTCTCTCTCCCTCGCTCAAGCCACTCAAGAATAGAATGTGAATGAGATATTTGATCCTTTGATTTGGTCGCAAATCATCAGACTAGAAATGCTTTCGCTGTGGATTTTGTCTTTTTATGTTGTCTGTTCTGATTATTTTGCAAGAAATGTTAACCAACTCGATTGGATGTTTCTGACAGCGAAGGCAGCGTGTAGGCAGTTTTTTGGGCCAACTGAGTTAATTCTATACAAGGATTATTTTTATCAGATTCTGATGCTTCAGTAGAGCAAAAAGTTAGGAAAGTTTCTCTCTGTGTAAACAGTCCTGGAGGAGCCCACAAATTAGTTGTTGACTAAACCATTGGCCCTCTGCCTTCATAGAATTAGTAAGAAATGCAACTCCTTGCCGTCCCAATGCGGGCTCTGTATTAAACTAGTAGAGGGACCGTCAAGGGTTCTAATTTCTAAAAAGAAAAGGGAATTATACTCCAAAAAATAGATAATGATAGGAGCTTTTGTGATTGATTCCTTTTGGTGTATTAGCATGTCAACCAACCATATAATATGTACTTTAAGGCACGATTTTTATATGATGTCTACATCAAGGAGAAGCTAACCAAGAGAATCATTCAAATCAAAGCTAAAGACGAGGCCTCTATTATATTTATTAGAATAAAATCTAACTCACTTGGAACAAAACCTTCAAGCTAACACTTCTGTTTAGCTTTTCCATTAACCTTTAGTGAGACTTGGCAAATAATGTTTTTATTTAGTTCATATGACAACTTCTTTCAGAGTCTAATCATCCAAGCTTGTGGCTATGGAAATTTCTTTGCTCTCTTTCTTTTCCACTCAGGCTCTATTTTCCTTGTTTCTTGTATTTTCTTCCACCTATGTCACAGCACAAGCACCACCTGGCACAAACTTTTCATGCCCTGTTGATGCACCTACCACATGCTCTACATATATCATTTACCTTGCCCATCCACCAAATTTCTTGGACCTCGGAAACATTTCTGATCTATTTGGGGTCAGTCGTATGTTAATAGCAAGTGCCAGTAACCTGGTGTCTGAGGACACCCAATTATTTCCAAATCAACTCTTGCTCATACCTATAACTTGTGGTTGCACTGGTAACCAATCTTTTGCTAACATCACTTACCAAATCCAGCAGGGTGATAGCTTCTACTTGGTTTCAACTACATCATTTGGGAACCTCACCCGTTGGCAAGAGGTGGAAGCTTTGAACCCCAGTCTGACTCCAACCCTCTTGCATGCTGGTGACAAGGTTATGATTCCTTTGCTCTGTAAGTGCCCTTCGAAGACTCATTTGGAGAATGGGATTGACTATCTCATTACTTATGTGTGGCAACCTGGTGATGATCTCACAAAAGTTGCTTCGAAGCTTAATGCATCAGAACGTAATATTGTGATAGGAAACAACGATGAGAACTTTACTGCTGCAATCTATCACCCAGTATTGATCCCTGTTTCCCAGTTGCCAGTTCTCTCTCAACAATACTCCACTCCTGAAAGAAGAGGATCCAGGCATCTTTGGATCATCCTTCTTGTTGCAAGCATAGCAAGTGCTTTTCTGATCTGTCTTTTGATTGCTTTTCTGGTCCATAACCATTGTTCACATAGGACAATCAAAACTTTGGATCGTACTGGTTCCTGTTTGGAGACCAGTGATCTCATTCAAACGAAGGAACTTACGAAACTGGAGAGTTTTGAGGCAAAGATCACACCAGATAAGCTGCTTCCAGGGGTTTCAGGCTATCTGGGCAAGCCAATCATTTATGAGATCAGAGCGATTACGGAGGGAACCATGGATCTACATGAACACTACATGATAGGAGGATCAGTATATAGAGCCAACATCAATGGCCAGGTCTTAGCAGTGAAAAAAACCAAGGATGATGTCACAGAAGAACTAAAGATTTTGCAGAAAGTCAGTCATGCAAATCTGGTGAAACTAATGGGGATGTCATCTGAATCTGATAGAGAAGGAAATTGCTTCTTGGTCTATGAATATGCAGAAAATGGGTCACTGGACAAGTGGTTGCATTCCAAGTCTAAATCTTCCTCAAGCTCTGTAGGTTTCCTCACTTGGAGGCAAAGGTTGCATGTAGCACTAGATGTGGCCAATGGCCTGCATTACTTGCATGAACATACTCAACCAAGCATCGTTCACAAGGATATTCGAACAAGTAATATTCTTCTTGATTCCACATTTCGGGCAAAGATAGCAAATTTCTCAATGGCTAGACCTGCCACAGACTCGATGATGCCTAAAGTTGATGTATTTGATTTTGGAGTTATCTTGTTAGAGTTGCTTTCTGGAAAGAAGGCCATGGTAACCAAAGAAAACGGTGAGATTGTTTTGCTGTGCAAGGAAATAGAAGCTGTCTTGGAAATTGAAGAGAAAAGAGAGGAAAGGCTAAGAAAGTGGATGGATCCCTACTTGGATAGGTTTTATCTCATTGATAGTGCTCTGAGCTTGGCAAGCTTGGCTAGGTTGTGCACACTGGGGAAATCTTCAGAAAGGCCAAGCATGGCAGAGATTGTATTTAACCTCACGGTTCTCACTCAGTCATCTCCAGAGACATTAGAAAGGTGGAGTTCTGGGGTGGAAACAGAGGATTTTACTCGGCTCATCAGCCCTGTCACAGCTCGTTGATTTAGCATAGAAGTAACAGGACAGACAAGTCCAAGTAGATCTTTTTCTACTTCTAATATTTCATTCAATAAAAATCGTTGTACATTAGCACCTTTTCAGTTTTGGTTATAGATGGTTTTATTTTGTGAATAAAAAGTAATAGTTGATCTCATAATGAGTTTATATTCTTGCTTATTTTCAACCTATAATATAGTAGAACAGTAAAGTATATCTTTTTTGAAACATATATTTCCTACTGCATCTGTAACTAACACTAGATAGGTCCACAATTGGATCAGACATTGAAATTTTGAACCCCCCTCCACAAATATGGTTCCGATTTCTGTACATCCACTTGAATCTTCAAAAGTGAGGAGACTATTTCAGCCATACTTGGTCTACTTTCTGGATCTTCTTCCAAGCAGGCTAGACTCAACTTCACCAATTGCAGGACAATTTTCATGCTGTGCTTTGCCATCAGACACGGATCTATAAGGCCGCCAAGTTCAGCTTCTCCATCATCTTCCTCCATGATTGAAATTATTGCTTCTGATAATTGCGTTTCTTTTTCATCTTGTATAAAAACTGCTTCCTTTCCGGTAACTAATTCCAGCAGAACGACCCCAAAAGCATATACATCAATCTCAGGAGTCACCAAGCCATATTCTATATACTCAGGTGCCATGTAACCTTTTTCCCCAAAAGCCAACCTCATTGAAGAATTCATGTATTCTTCTTCCTTTGCTGAATGTGCAAGGCTGAAGTTTGCAATTTTAGCTCTTAGATGTCTGTTGAGCAGAACATTGTTGCTACAGATGCGCTTGTGCACACAAGTAGGATCAGTGAAGTTGTGAAGATAGTGAAGCCCATTAGCAACATCCAAGGCAATCTGAATCCTGAAATTCCAACTCTGAACTTCAAGACAATCCTTTTTGCAGAGCCAATCTCTCAAAGAACCATTCTCCATAAACTCATAGATGAGGTAGAAAACCCCCTGATGCTCACATGCAGCATAGAGCCTGATCAAATTGAAGTGGTTAATCTTTCTCAGCAAAATCACCTCATTAGATACGTCTTTGCTCGTCATTTTTATCGCGACTACTTGTCCACCGATGACGCCATGATAGACAGAACAACTCAACCTACTCTGGATGCTGAAATCTTTGGTAGCCACCCTTAGTTCCTCAAATTTGTAGATTTTCAACCCCTGATCTACCTCAGCAACGTCATGTAAGAATTCTTCAGGCAAAGCAACTTTCTTTTTCTCCTTTCCATCCTTTTGAGCTCCAAAAATTTTCTTCTTGTAAAGCAACAGCACCATGGATAAAATAGAGGAGAGGACCAGCAAGGAAATTCCAATTATAATCATTCTATGAAATCCTGTACTTGACCTCTCGATCCTATTAAATGGAGTGAAGGGAGAAGAAGGGGGCGGTAGTGAATACTGAATTATTGTTTGCGAGCTTGAAGGTTCATTTGACAGTGGAATAAGAATTGTGGTAAAAGGGAAGATAGTTGGATCATCTTCAGTGAACCTATTTGCATAGATTACGCTCTTTATACTTGCATTGAACCTCTCACTGATATTACGAACTTCGTCCCCCCAACTGACCAAGTAACTTAATAGATACTTGGTACCATTTTCGGTTTGATTTCTTGTAGGACAAGCACATCTAAGTGGCACCTGCAGTTTCATACCGATATCCAAGCTAAATTCACTGTAATTGTTTTCACGCTTAAGAGAGTCACAAGTGGCTAAACCCTCATACGTGTAGTTTGCAATAGTAAAGTATGAATCATAAATACTTGGAATTGTGTAAGAGGTGTTGGCCTGATAGTATTGCCCTGAGCAGGAACAAAGTACAGGAACTATTACCTCTTTACCTGTTGGGATAACAGCAGATCTTGAGAAATTGTTGATGCGAGCAAGCTCAAGTGGGTCTGAAGATAGGAGGTTTGAAATACTGGAGATTGTGTTATAAGGAGGTTGAGATTTGTAGATGAGAAAGGCTTGGCAGGATTGATTCTTACCATTGCAGGTGTAAAGAAAAGCTGAAGATGGGCCCGTTGAGTCGCTGTTATCACAATCCATGACTTTGTTTCCTGAATAACTTTGTTGGGCATCAAGATTTGGAGGTATACAGAAGAAAAACAGGAGACTGAGAAGAAGCTGATTCATTTTGGATGGAACTGTTTTTTTCTGAAGACTTGCAGATGTGCAAATTGAAATGAGAAAGTGTGAGCAGGAGGAACTCGGCTTCACCGTTTTCATTATAGTAACGTTAAACAATTTTCTTGTCTATATCATGAGCTTGGCGAAAGGAATTTCTAAGAATATAAAACTTGGTTGGTCACAGATTCAAAACATGAATTATAATCTACTATTAAAATTAAGCATATTGAACTATTTTAAAATTTTATAAGGTAGGTATATGGGGTCATAAGGCTCAACATTAAGACCAGACCAATTACAAATAATTGAAAAACAGAAAATTCTTCGAAGTCCACTGTCTTTTTCTTCAATTTGTGTAGTATTTTATCAGGGTCGTGACATGAGCAGCAGACAAGAGGTTGCAGAGAAATTAGAATAACTAGCGAATACAATGCATTCTCTTGAATCAATAAACAAATCAAATTACTTCTGATTTATAAACTAGGAAAAAGCTTTGATCATGAAGGTCGTCCTCAGCTAAAAGTGTGTAAAAATATCAAAAACTGAAGTTATTGAAAGAAGGATCAATAACATAAGTTCGTCCTGAATATATTAGATTAGCACTAATGGACGAGTAGACCTGTGTTCATTAGGCACATGAGTTGAAAAACAAGTTAATTTGGTCACCTGTTCTAACCTACCCTGACTGGGACAGGAATAGATCAAGTTGCACTTAGAAATTGGAATCTGCATTTTACCATCTCATTCTAGTTTTAGTTCTTGTTCATAAAGTAGAAGTATCTTTTAAATTTAATAACGAGTTAGGTGGTGAATCTGATCTGATGGATCTCCCATGCAACAATCTTAACACATCCTGTCTAAGAATTACTGGTAGCCATCTTCTTGGTTAAATTAAAACCTAAAGACAATCATGGATTAAACTGAACGTTTTATTAAGATATATGTAGCCTGTTTCCGCTATGATCATAGAAGTTCTACACTAGTGATTTCAAGTGTCACTATACTAGAAAAGAAATGTTTCCTATTACAAACTATAACAATCAGATGGAAAACCAGAACAGAAAGATGATTAAAAAGTTGCCAGAACATAAGTAATTGGTGAAAGAATTCTCTTCAGGTACCTTGTTCTCGAGGGCTCTAACTAGAACTATGGTAGCCAGATATGTTGTTTGACAATTCCCAGGCCAGCGAAGTAGTCAAAATTCTTGAGAGAGACTGCACGATTTCGTCCATGGCCGGGCGATCTGCTGGATTTTTATGTAAGCAACTATCAATCAATCTGACCATTAAAACAGCGAGTCCTGAAGGATAATTCCCTTGCATTGAAGGATCAATGAGTTGACCGAGACTTTCCTCCAGCCCATCTTCCCCAGAAAGTACACCATTTAAAACATCTGATAAGTTCCTGTTTTCCTCTCTGTATAAAGCAGCAACTTCTTTCCCGGTAATTATCTCCAGTGTGAGAATCCCAAATGCATAGACGTCAAGCTTCGTAGAGACGAGACCATTTTCCAAGTACTCAGGAGCCATGTAACCTTTTGTCCCAACAATGTGCCTTGTCAAAGCAAATTCACCTTCCATCCCATCTGTTGACCTTGCCATGGCAAAGTTTGCAATCTTAGCCCTTAAATCACTGTCAAGAAGTATGTTGCTGCTCTTTATATCCTTGTGGACATGGGGATAGTTAGTGAAAATATGTAGATAGTTAAGCCCCTTGGCGACATCTGAAGCAATCTGTATTCTTTGTGTCCAGTTCAAAAACTTCCCTTCGTTGCTGCTATGATAAATCCAATCACTCAATTGTCCATTAGCAGCATACTCATAAACCAGATACCACTGCCCATCATTGAAACAAACACCGGAGAGGCGAATTAGATTAGAATGGTTGATCTTGTTCAATAAATCTATCTCCTTTGACACGTCTCCATTCATCTTCTTAATGGCAGCAAAATCACCATTGATTAGGCCACGATAAACAGACCCTTTGATCCAACAACTGGGACCGAAGTTATCTGTTGCAGCTTCCAGATCTTCAAACTTGTAGACTTTTATGGATTGAGCTATACTGGAAATACTCTCAGAAAATTCCAGAGATTCTTCATCCGTCTTCTTGTTGAGTGGTTTCTCATGTGCCTCAGAGCTTTGCGATACGATAACTGGACTGGGTTGCTTCTTACTTTTACGGAAGAAAACGAAGAAAATAATGGTTCCAATGATTAGAGTAAGAACAATTCCTCCAACAACCCCAACAACAACGTAAACCCATGTTTTGTTTGAGCTTTTGTTGGAGTTTGGAGATGGTGATGGAGGTGGAGGTGAAGGTGGAGGTGAAGTTGGAGGTGGAGGTGGGGCTACAGTTTGAGAACTCGTTGGTGGGTTTTGTAAAGGAATTAGGAGTGTTGTGAAGGGAAAAATGGTGGGATTTTGCTCAGTAAGTCCATTAGCTTCAAGAGTTGTCCCAGTATTTGCACCAAATCGTACGCTAGGAATTGAAACTGCATCTCCCGGAGCGACTAAGTAACTTAATAGATACCTTACACCTAAATCACTCTGGTTCTTTGTAGGACAGGCACATCTAAGAGGAACAGTGAGTGTTTCACCAGGAAATATATCGACAGTTCCTGTACTTTTTTGATCCTGAATAGCTTGACAGGTTGAGAGGCCTTGATAGGTGTTATTAGCAATCAAGAAAGGAGTGTCACCTTGTTGAACAACATAAGATGTGTTTGCCTGAGAGTAATCACCTGAACATGAGCAGTTGACAGGAACTATCACCAACTGGTTTGTTGGAAATGTTGTAGTCTCACGAACTGAATTTATTTCAGAGACCTGAGATGGGTCAGAACCCAAAAGAGTTGATATGGAGGCAACAGTTGTGTAGGGAGGTTGGGACCTGAAGACGAGATAAGCTCGGCAACTCTTGTTTAGGCCATTGCAAGAATACCCAAGAGCAGAATCTGCTGTGTTCGAACAATTTGTCGTAGCTTTCGCCACATAGGGTTGCTGAGCGTGAATCAAAGAACGACAACAAAGAATGAAGAGAGCAAAAGGAGAAACAACCGAAAGGAAGCTCATGTTGAATTGGGAATGATCTAGTGGTGTCTATGGCAAAATACAGGTCAAGAGGAATGGATATCTATTCATGCAAAGCCGAGGGAAGGAAGAAAGAAAGAAGAAAGATTCTTAGAGAAGACTGCATGTCGAGTTTTTTTGATAGAGAAATTTCTTGGACAGATAGGAATGGAGAGGATTAGGTAGTTGACCAGATCACAGTTGTCGCTATCAATGTCCTTAGCTGACCATCTCCTATCTTTCCACAAGGCTGAACTAGTGAAAAAGAGATGGAGGATTCGTGCTTGATTCTGTCCATTAATGCTTCATTTCCAACCAAAACCAATCTTTGAATGATAAAATAGGAGAAATAATCAAATCAGAACATGGGTTTACCAAAGAAAATTTTATCTCTAATGAAAAACAAACATATTTATGATATTGAATCATTGAAGCAGTCTAGATAGCGTAATAAACCACGTCAATGGTTATAAAACAATAAAATATACTTGGCATGGTTTCCAGGGAAATGTGATCTTCCTTCGCGTCCCAACTACGACAAAATCAGCACTTTTTTTTCTAAATGGCTAGATGTTCCTATTACTAATCAACAAAACGAGTTAAAAAAGCAGCCATTGAATTTGAATAAAGATTTTTTAAAGTAAAGATCCCATTTGTGCTCCCTCCAGCCGTAGCTTCCTCGAAGCAGCCAGGTCAGTGAACAAGCGCGCACACAATTCCAACAAGTAAACGACAATCAAACATTGGGTAGAGCCATCCAATCTAAGCCCATGATCTTTTTGTACAAGACTACCGAGGAGGTTTGGACCTTCTTGCTCTAGTGTGACATAAAACATTCAAGTGATCCCTGCTGTCCTGAGCTTGATGAAGGCGTAAGAAAGGCAAAATCTGGCTCAATAACAATGCTTATTAGCAAAACTGAAATTTCAAGTAACTTTTAATGTAAGTAACTTGATTGAGTGAAGAACCACTTCCTTCTCATTGTAGTAACTTCTTCTGTTCTCAAAATAATATAGCAAACATATGCCGATCTTATAACAGAACAATCTAAGGCATGAGATTTAAGCAGCTCAAGTCAGCAAAGGAATTGGTCAAGAAAAGCATTCCCATTAAAGAGCAAAAGATGCATAATTTTAGATAGAAAGGAGTGTGCTTTCCAGCGGAAGTCATTTCTACCAGGTTCCTAAGCATAGATACTGGATTGTAAAGTACAACAACATGGGTATACAGAGACAATAGCCAAAGAGCAGTAAACTACATTCACAATTCCTGTCTCCTGCAAATACCCAAAAAATCTCCACGATGACAAACAAAATTCCAATCAGGAGACAAAAGATAACACCGGCAATGCTGTCGCGCAATCCATCTACCAGCCAGTCAGGCGAGATGACAAATAGGATAAAGCGAGAAACTGCAGTGCATAAGCAGAAAGTATCATTATTGACGTAATTAGTTCAACTGTCAAATATACAATACGCTAAGGATGAAATAATTATCATATTCTAGAATGACGCAAACCTGGAAAGGTTTCAGGAAAGAATAGGTTTGCCCCGATAGCAATAAAAGCAATCCAGTAACCAAATTGTCCTCTGAATAAAAAAGTTGGTATTTCGGTGAATTTGATGGCATAAAGAAGCAAATCAACCAAACTTATGATTGTGAAACTATGGAAGTACCTTAAAATTTTAAACAATGCCGTCGGGAAACTTGTAAGCAAATAGAATACAAGAAGGGTAGTCTGAACAGATGATTTCCGTCCTATTCGGTTCAGGATCAACAAGAATCTGTTTGGTCAAGACCAAAAAAGTCCAATTGCTTGAGTAAGAAACAGCTAAAACAATCGGTGGACTACTATTGAGACTTCAACTCTAAAACCAGGTAGACCATGTAACCAACAGCATGCTTCTGTTGAGTGAGAATGAAAATGACATGACTGTGATGCTGTTCTGTTTCATGATCGAAGCATTTGCAAGGTATGGTATCCTTCATTAAAATAAATGAGAAACAAGTTGTTTGAAATTCAATAGCCTTTTGAAAAGCATCATCCTGATAAAATCCAACAAGATTATTCTCTAATCTATCACAAAAAAAGTACTTCTACTCCTAGTACCACAAACAATCCAGGTTTTTTTTGTGGCACAAACAATGAATTCTCCAACGCTATTCAATGCACTCACTTATCAAATAAGAAGAACAACCAAAAAGTGAATTGAATGTTATTATCAAAGCAACTTAATTAGAAAGTGGCATAGGAAGAACCCAGAACCACCTTCTGGTAGGTCATGCAACTACACAAAATGAATCATCACTTAATACAAAGCATTTATTCCCAAGCCATAGTCTTCAGAACTGTTGGGTGCTATTTGACCTTCTCAACCCCCTCACAATTATAACCAAGAATCCAGCCTCTTCCACAACCGATGTGGGATAACACAACAATCTCCTCCTTCACATATCAAGCCTAAGTTAGCTATTTCTCATCATCTTATGTGGCACCAGAACATGAAAAACTATATAACCTGAGCTCCGCTATCAGTGTTGGGTGCTATTGAGACTTCTCAAATCTCAACCATAGTTGTAAATCACAGACAGTTGAAAAAAGGGTGGCAGTCGTCATCAAGGATTGCAGCTTATTGCAGTACTAAAATAAAAATAATGGAAAGCTCACCGTTATTTAAATTTATGTTCTCAATCCCAAAAGCTAGCTCAAGGATTGATGTACGATAACACAGCAAGCACTACCATAGGTCATCAAGGAACTTCAAAAAAAAAAAAATTTCTAACTTTATACAACCCCACCAAAATGACACAAGAAAAAGTGCAGCAAAATAATTCAATGAAGTGATTATCTAAAACAATTAAACCTTGAATAATCCTTCAAGCATCAACTGAAACCAAAACTAGTATAATGGATACCCAATCACAAATTGACAGAAGACACGATTTTTCTTCTTTTGAGCAATCAATTAAAAAAGAGACTTAAATGAGTTAAATGAGTAAAGGGCTTTAAAAAAAGAGAAGAAACTCACAAAGCAAAGATGGTTCCACCCCATTGAAAACTAACTCGAGCCCTGCTAGATCTTGACTCAAAAGCTTCTGCTGCTGATGATGTTGAGTTATATACAAGACTCGAAACCATCTCCGTTAGTCCCATTTCAGTCAGAATCCTCAGTGATCTTTCTTTTTAACAAGAATTGAACCCTCAAGAATCATCGCTTTCTTTCTTTCTTCATCATTTGGTGATCCTTGACAAATCTCTCTCTCCCTCTAAATATATCTATTTGGCTTCTGCTGTCTCATTGACAGAATCTGGGATGAATTGGAAGGACAGACTGACTGACTGACTGTACCTAGTAGACTGACCTAACAGTGCACCACGTGGCAGTCCATTACTGGCCTTATGCTTCCTCGTGTCTGCAAGCAAATGAGTAGGTTTGGGCTTTGTTGCTATATGGGTCGGTAAATAGGCTTGGGCTTCCTTAAGCTTGAACTTAGATCACAGGACAAGATAATTACTTCCATTTGATTTTTATTTTATTTTTTATTATCAAGTAGTTTTGGATATTATTAAATATGTTGAAAAAACTAACCTATCGTTAGAAGAAAAAAATAAATTAAATTGATTGACTTAGCTCTTCTTTGAAGACAATATAAAAATATTACACAATTTTATAAAAATATTACACAATTTGAAAAGGTTATTCTTTTAAGGAAAAATATTGAATTTTCTTACTAAATTAATAGATAATTTTATTCATATCTGATGACTTCTCCGATAACTAATTGTTCTATTTTTAAAAATAATAAATTTAATCTTGATTGATAAAAAAATTAATTCGAAAATATCTCATTGTCCGTAAATAAAAAAATATATTAATATACATATATTTCTAATTTCCTTAGTAATATAAAAGAAAACTTACGTTTTTCTTTTTTCATAAAAAAATACTTCAAATATAAAAATTAAAAATAAAAGGAACCTTAAGTGCTATTATTATTATTATTTGAGATTTGAAGAATTCTGAGTTCGATATGTTAAGAAATCTTAAATATTCGAGAATCTAATATTTTTTAGGATATTACATTTCCTTAAAAGCAATGGACGTGATTCTTTTTTAAAATAATGCATGGGAATCACAATCCAAAGGTAATTAATGGAATGTCTTAAATACCTTATCATTAATAATGACTGGACGCATATGTTTTTAATTTTACTAATAATAACACAATTGTTTTTTAGATATTATGTTTTCGAACTTTTTTAGTGAATATTTATTTCCTAGATAATTATAATTTTATCAGGTCAAATTTTAATTTTTTTTATCAAAAAGTTGATTTTTTTTTTAAATCTAAATTTTAGATGTAAATGTTTGGGCTGTTGGTCTTAAATCAAAATTTTTAAGTTATTTATTTACGAAACTTCACCCGGTAGTAAAGAAAAGAAAGGAGAAGAAAAGGTTTGGGCTGCTGGAAAGCAACTGGATGCTGACATAAAACATGGACTACCTTAGCTTGGTCCAGCTACTTCAAATAAAGAAAGATTAATGGTGACACATCTTCTGCTGTAAAAGCAAATATTGTTTTTTTTTTTTTTATACTTTTTCAATGAGATAGGGTTTGGAACCATTCTTCAGCTAGGGTTTACTTCAACAATAATTTTACATCAACTTTCTAATCAGTAGTAAGCATCAAGTTACAACAACTTTCTTGTTGTCATTGAGAATCATGAAGTGTCAAATTTAGTTTCTGTTCCTTAATTAATGTAGAAGTAAATGTATTCGTAGTGCTTTTCAGTTTAGGAAGATATTTATTTTTTATGTTTTCATATCTTTTTAATTTGAAAAAAAAAATTAGTGTTTTTTTATATAGTTTTTATATCATAATTTTCAAAAATAAAAATAACACTTTAGAAAAACATTTCTAATCTTATTGTCAATTTTTTTTTTAACTTACATATCCAAAATTCTTAACATAATTAATATATTATTTTAATTAATAGCTATCTATTGTATAAGACTATTGGATTACAAATTTCTTGGTCTTTGTCAAATAACCATAAAGCACTGCTTACCAAAAAAAAAAAAAAATGATTGATTACTTCTTTATATATATATATATATATATATATATATATATATATATATATAATGACTTCGGATGATGCAATGATTGTTAATCACGAGCTTGGCTGATAGCTATAAAATGGAGTGTTCCAATACGAAATGAAATTGCATGGAAACTTCGCAAGGGCTCAAGTAATGACTACGACATTGACCTTTGGTCTGCTAAAAAAAAGGGAAAAGCACTGCTCAGCTTGGCTTTGGAAATGATGCATGCATGAACCAACACGTACCACATTACTTCAATTATTTATTTTCTTCTTCTCGGTACAATTCAAATAGGCAATTAAGCATTCTTCCAACTTCGGACAGCTGCCTTCACTTCAATGTAAAGATCTCTGTTAGATCCAGATCAGGCCCCATAAATTGGTATGGCAAGGGCAACAATGGTATCAAAAAAGTTGTTTAATTCGATACCAAAAAGGAAAAGAAAAGTTATTTAATCTGACTTCTTTGCTGAGAAGTAAGCAAGTTGGTGAAAGCTATTTGTGTCTTTACCTTTCCATTTATTTTTTTGTTATTTTTTGTAATCGTCAAAAGTATTCTTAGATCAATGGAGAATAAATCTATAATCCTCAAATAATTTTAACAATATACCGTCTATGTCTCCGATGCATTCTCTAAAAAAAAAAATTCTCTTAACCTCTACCTCCAAATTAGTTGGAACTCAATTGAGAATCGAGGAGTTCGGAAACTTTTGATCAGGTTATGGATACAAAAGTTTCATGGTGAGATTCGGAGGGGAAAAGAATAGAATTGACAGAGATAGAGAATAATAAAAAATAAAAACTTTTGATCAGGTTATGAAGGATTTCTTTCAATTAAATTCTAATGATTCAAGTGCATTGATATTCTCTCAATCATGAGTAGCGTATCAAAACCATTTCTCCTGTTTGATCAAAATTAGTTGTATTTTAGATTTTTGAATTATTATAAGTATAAGGATTATGCTTTATTATTATTATTATTATGAGTAAAAATTACTATAAATTTGGTTTTTCATGAGTGTGAATGAATCTTATGATCTTCTACCATGTTCTCTTTATTTTTATTTTTTACATATTTCTTCTTCTTCTTTTCAAATAGTAAATATTTTCATATCAGCTTTTATATTAATTAATATTAAGTTTATTATTTTTCGAGATAGGTCAATATTAGATTATACCTACCTTTTGATCGATCTAAGAGTTGGATTTTTTTAGTCCACTAACATTTCATATCTAGTACTACATAAAAAATAAATAAATAATTTTTCTAAAAATTAATGATAATCCAATCTTTAATTGTTAAGACAAGCTACTACCATCTCTACTTCAACAATTGTCTCTCCTTCAACGTACTCATCTCCTTCATCTATTACTACAATCGTGTGCTCTTCCTCCATCAAGTCTCCAAGATATAGACAATGACAATAATAGTATACTTCTAACAAGGATAAATACATCTACTTTATGTATACCTTTATTCTTTGTAACTTGATAAAACCGTGTAAAACTTATCTTATGTACAACTTTATAAATGATAGAGCAATACAAGTAATAGACTCACAAGATTTTTATATCTTGTTAGACTTCTCTCCTACTCAATTTGGTATCGAGCCTCTAAAGGCTAGTCGAATCTCTTTTTTTTCATATCTATTTCATTTCTTCCTTCTTTTTACCGTTATTCTAACTACCACGTGGCTAGTTCTAGCAATATCTCCTCTCTTACTCTTACCACACCTTATTCCACCTTTACATTTGTCATTAGTCAATTGACCAATGCTCACCACTTTCTCTCTTTGAAATTAACCAACACCAATTTTCAACTCGGCATACTCAAATGAAACCTTTTCTTTTTTTAAGACGACCTTTTTGATTTTGTTAACGATTCAAATATTTTCCTTCCTATACATATTGCCTCCGAAGATGATAGTTTACCCACACTTAATCCTTATTCTCTTGCTTGGGTTCAGCAAGATCAACTACTCATAAGCACTCTCATTATCTCCCTCTCTACTAATGTTCGACCCATGGTAATAGAGTGTGCTACATCCCGTGATGTATGGACTCGTGTTAGAAATGACTTTTGTTTCTCCTTTTAGCACATGTATTATGACTCTCCATCTTGCTTTATAAAAATTATGCCAAAAGCTAACTAAACCTATCTCTCAATTTCTTTAGCATGCCAAATCATACGAGTGATGAACTTGCTACCGATGGTCGCCCTCTCCAAGAAATTGATTTCAATTTATATGTCTTCAAGAGCTCATCCGGAGACTTCAAAGACATTATTATCACATTATCTACTCGAACCAAATCGATTATCTTTGTTGAACTACACAACATGCTCTTTAGTCATGATTTCGAACAAAGAGTCTCATTTTGATTCCTCATTTGTTTTGCATACTCATGGGCTCCCGTCCACTTCACCATCTACCAACTACTTTCAAATAGTAGGTGGCAACTTCCTATCCGGTCAAAGATGAAATTTTTGTGGTAAGAGACGTGGTCGATACAACAATAATAATAGGTCTTATAACAATTCTAATGTTATAAAACCTTAAACTCCAACATAATTAAAAGCTCGATGCCAACTTTGTTCTTCTTGAAATCATTTGGCCATCTCGTTGCCCATAAAGGTAATTTCAACCTTAGAATGCTTCAACCCATCTAGTAACTTTCTCTTCTACTCTAAGTATTATTTTGTACTTTCATTCATGATGCCCATACACTAAAGCCTTATACCGTGTAATCTCTAATTTGGCCAACCTTAACACCTATGAGCCATATCAAGGTCTTGAATAATTATAGGTGGATAATGGTGTGTTACCTATTACAAATATTGATACTAGTCATATTCACATACCTTCTAAATCTCATGTCTTGTTAGATTTCTTGTATGTGCCACAAATTACTCAACTTTTATTTTTCATTAAACGCCTTGGTTCCGACAATAATTAATTTTGAGAATTTCACCCTTTTATTTTTTTCCTAAAAGACCAGGTACATAAGAAAACCATTTCTTTTAGATTCAAGTGATATAGATCTTTATGTCTTGCCTACTTCTTCAATCGCGCCTAGTCCTCAAACGTATTATGTCCAGAGCGTCATAAAAAATTTTGCATTCCCGATTAGGTCATCTACATAACCGAGTTCTAAATCTTATTTTTAAAAAGTCTACTTTTGTAAAAATTTTCAAGTTGTCTAGTCATTTTTTATCATGTCTCGTTAAAAAAAAAGGTTATTTTTACATTCTTCTACTCATTCTAGTACTCGTTTATTGATTTTGATTTTTAATGATGTATGGGGCTCTTCCACTAATGCTACCATCGATGGTCATAAATATTATTTAATATTTATTAATCATTTTTCAAAATTCATTTGGTATTACCCTCTAAAAAAATCAAATGTCTTTAACACATTTATTCAATTTCAAGAACTTGTTGAAAGATAATTTAAATATAAAATTAAACAATTATAAACAGATTAGGGTGGTGAATTTCTTCATCTTAATATATTTCTTAAAACTATTGGAATCACTCATCAAATAATTTATTCACATATATGAATAAAATAAGATCGTTGAAATATGATACCATCGGATTGTTGAAACTAGATTAACATTATTAGGTGAGGTTGATGTTTCCAAGTCATACCGGCATTTTGGTTTTAAAACAACTATTTTTTTAATTAATCGCATGCCCTCTTCGTATCCAATTATATATCTCTTATGAAATTATCTATGATCGAAACCTTATTTTTCTTTCTTAAATTTTTTTGAGTGCTTGTGTTTCATATGTTTATGACCATATAATAAACATAAAATAGATTCCGGATCAACTCTATGTGTTTTTCTCGAATATAGTCCCTCTCACCGAGGTTATTAATGTCTAAATCTCAAAACTAATCGTTTTTATATATCTTATCTTATCGGATTTATTGAGTCGAATTTCCATTTTCCATCAAATTGCATCAAACCATATCTATCCAAAATACAACTCACTTCTCTCTTTGAGCTAGTATTCCTATCCAACTTTTAAATTGTTACTCTATTGTTACATTGAACTTAGGTCTAACTCACTGGGCCCACACACCTCCTCTTATCCGATTTACAACACCAACTCACACTACAGACAGAGTCGTAAGCTAGTTAGCCCCACTCACTTGGCCCGTTACCACAAAAGGCTAGCATCACCTTCTCACACCCCAAAAACCCAAAGCCTATGTACCAGCCCATGCTTAACTTAGCCCGGGGCTCACCTCAACTTTTTTTTTCACTAAACATCTTCCTTAAGTACAAATCATACATTACCGGTACTCAATCAACCACACACCTTTTTCCTTATTAGCCCGCCTTAGATTTATACTCTATCTCCTACCACTCTTGCAGCAATTCAAGGAAAAACACTAAATCTCATTCTTGATTTAAGTCGGTATGAGATTGACAAACAACACACTACTATCCAAAATCATGAACCCTAAAGAACACATCTCATGGTTCTATGATATATAACTAAGCAACCTTAGTTGCATGCCTCTCTTGTTGCGTCATAGTCGACAGTACCTAAGGCACCCTCCTCGTTACTCCGAAGTAAGAAAACTCTTACCCTAACGAATAACCATGTTAGCAAAGATTTCTAAATTTCCCAACATAAGTACTTGATCCTGGGTTCCTTCTTATTCCTCTATGAATATCATTGGTAGCAAGTGGGTCGTTAAGACCAAAAAGAGAGTAGATGATACCATAGAAAGGTATAAAGCTAGATTGATCACTAAAGGCTTTAATCAATATGAGGGAGTTGATTATGGTAAAACTTTATGTCCTACGATTAAACCTACCATTGTTCTTTGTGTTCTAGCTCTTGTAGTGGTAATGGCTAGCCAATTAGGAAATTGGAGGTCCACAATGCTTTCCTAAATTAGGCGATTCATGAACTAGTTTACATGTCACAACTCGTTGGCTTTGTGGACTCTAATTTTCCTCATCGAATTTAATGTTTGCATAGATTCTTTTATGGACTCAAACAATCACCTAAAGCTTTGGTTTTCTAGCCTACATGATTTCTTGTTCAATTTTAGGTTTACTCGGATATAAAATGGACACCTCAAAGTATTTGTTCTTATCTATGTAGATGACATCCTCATCATGGGTAAGTACAACTCCTTTTTACGTACTATCTTTAGGTCTTTGAACTCCAAGTTTTCTATAAAAGATTTTGGCAATATTAGTTTTTTCTTAGGTATTGAGGTGCTTTCGAGCAAAGCATGGTATTTTCTTATTTCAACAAAAATACTTCACCGATTTACTAAGTAAGCATGGGATGATCAACTGTCGGTCGACCTCTACTCGTATGCCTACAACTTCTAAGCTAACTCAAGCTTCTCCTACACTCTTTTAAAGATGTTACTCTTTGTAAGCGAGTAGTAAGGGCTCTCTAATATGCTACTCCGACACAATTGGACATTGTTTATGTTGTTAACAAAGCATGCTAGTTCATGCATACTTCTAAAGCTAAACATTAGGTTGTCGTCAAGCGAATTTTACGTTATCTCAAAGACGTTGTTCCTTTTGGTCTCTATCTTAAGAAATCTAATTCTTCTAATCTCTCCGGTTTTTCCGACTCTCATTAGGCGTACTCTTTGGATAATAAAAAATCTACAAAAGGGCATGTAATGTATCTTGATCCAAATTTGATCTCTTGAAAGTCCTTAAAACAAAAGACTATTACTTGAAACTCCACCGAGGGTAAGTATAAAGCAATAACCGATGTGATCGTTGAAATAGATTGGGTCACTTCTCTCCTTGGTGAACTTAGGGTAGTAATGACATCCAAACCAACAATCTAGTGTGATAATATTAGGGCAACATACTTGGCTATTAATCCTTTATTTCATGCTCGTGCCAAGCACATTGAAAATGGCTTTTATTTTGTGAGAGACATGGTTTGACATAGGAGTTTGTATGTGCTTTTTATCTTAAGTCATGATCGGTTAGCGGACATCTTTATCAAACCGTTGGCAATAACATGTTTTCAGCTTTTAAGTAACAAACTCTATGTGGGTGAAAGATCAGATTCAATTATGGAGGAGTGTTAATAAGCTGTTGTCATCTCTACTTCAATAGTTGTCTCTCCTTCAACAGAATCATCTCCTTCATCTATCGTTACAGCCATGTGCTCTTTCTCCATCTAGTCTCTTGGATATAGATAATGATAATAACAGTATACTATTAGCAAAAAGATAAAGACATCTTATCTATATATACCTTTATCTCTTTGTCACTTGATAGTACTAGGTAAAACTCATTTTATGTACAACTCTATAAATGATAAAGCAATTAGTTTTTATACCTTGTAATACTTCTCCTACTCAATTCTAATCTAATAGATCTTTTTTATTACTTTTCCTACCATTTTTTTTTTTTTTGGGCATAAATAGCTATTTATGGAGAATTTTGTCCCGAGAACTTTCACAAGATACAAAATATTAATATTAATTACACAACGTTCTAGACAATCATAACAATATATAAGGCCAGTTAAAGAATACACTAAAAAAATACGAGCCAGGAAAATCATTTCTTATGCTGATTGCTTTTACATGACAGGCATACCATTGGGTGCTGATTTTCACACATTTGATTCGACTTTACACGACAGGCATTCTACGTGGTTTATTGGGCCTTTATTGTTTTGAGTCACGCCAGCAAGGGATTCGCAAAGACAAGGAGAAAAAAGAAAAAATTCTCTTCTTCTTCTTCTTCTTCTTCTTTTTCCCTCCTCCTCTTTTATCATCATATATGCAAATATAAATCATGAAGATCAAGCTAGCATGTAGACATATTCTTTTCTTTTTTTTTTTTTGGTAGGACAATATCTACAAATTCAAATTCCAAATCAAGCCATCATTTGAATAAACTCGTGAAAATCAAGAGCTCCATTGCCATCAATATCAAAAACATGAATCATGGCCACACACTCATCATAAGACTTTGCATCTCCTAGTCGATGCAGCATCCTTTGCAACCCCGTAGGGGTTATGTACCCCGATCCCTTCTCCATTTCGAACATTTCAAAGGCCATTTTGAGATCATCATCCTTATCATTAGCCTCCCTGTTCATTAACCTCAAAAAATCTTGAAAGTCCAACAAGTTGTCCTGGTCTGCATCAAGATCATTGATCGCGGATTCTGCCTCTTCATGTGACATGTACTCCCCTATGGATCCAAAGTATGACCTAAGTTCTAGGGCTGAGATCCTTCCATCACCATCACCATCGAAATGACGAAAAACTTCTTTGAGTTCATCTTCTCTAGTGCTATATTTTTTTGGTGTACATGGAGACATGGGAGAGTTAGGAGAGCTTGATGCTGAACTAGACTTTGATCTACGACGATGAAGGCTTAACCTAAGACCCTTGTTTGAGAACCACTTCGAAGATTTTGACACTCTTTCGGTTTCCATAAGGATGGTGACAGCTAAATATATTTTCTTAGAACTTATAAAGCATCTACCGGACATGCAGGAGTTTATATAGATAGTGGAAAAGCAGACAGCACATTTATTTTGAAATAAAAGCTTTCAATAGTTGGAAGTTGCAACGAAATTTCTTTAAAGGAAAAGATGGAATGGCAACCATTTTCCATTTGTTTTGGAAAGGAAATTTCATGGCAACTTCCTAGAGGGGTCCAAAAATTGACTGACCAATGTCCTTTAATATATTGATGTAACTTGTACGCTCCATAGTCCATATAGAGTGTCAAACACTTAACGAATCACGTTACTATATTTGCATCTTCTCTTTTCTTTTTATGTTCAAAGTAAACAAAATTCCTTCAAAAAAATATGTAAGCGAATTTGATCTCATCAAATCATCAAATATTTTAGGATCAAATATTATTTGACAGTTAATTATTGGCATTTTCTTCTTATTTTTTTCACAAATTCCTCCAATTTTATCTCAATTTTTGTAATGATGATGTCCACCAAATGCTCAATTCATTAAAAACATGATTTTACGTGTCCTTGGGTTTGAATAATTAATGTTATGATTATAGAGCTAGCTAGCCGTACAACTCGTTTGTGACTGTAATTATAACCATAGGAAACTATAATAATTATTTCTAGGAAAAGTTAAGATATAAAAGAAATTAAAATTACATTGAAATTCACTTTTAAGAAAAAAGATAAACATATAAAAAAAAAATTACATCCGAATTTACAAAAAATGATTAAAAGATTTTTACTTTTACTCAATTTTTTTTTTAATTTTCTCTCTTTTTTTATTTTTGTCTATCTCTCTTTATGAAATGAGTCCATGAAATAATTTTATATGCCATTAGTTATCCTTTGAGTATTATAAAATTCCTCAAATTAGTATTATGCTCTCTCTTTTTTTAGTTGTGTTATTGCAGTTTGAAAATGTTTGTTTATATAAAAACGGTTAATCATCAAAATAATATAAAAAAATCAATAATTTATATTTTTATCTTTTGTCATGAAATAATAGGAAATGCTTGGAAAATAAAATGAAAACAAATATTTTGTAACTTTTCGTTCACGATTTCTATTGTTTTTAAAAGAAACTAAACTCTTAAGTGTTTTTTTTTTTCTCTATTACTAAAAAATGAATTGAAATTTCGAGAGCTACAGAAGCCACAGATGACAGTGTACTCTCTCGTGGGCCTTTGTTGGAAGATTATTCACTATATTTGATGTAGCTCTCTCCCTCAGATTAAAAAAGCAGAAGAGGAAAAAACAAACAAAGAAAGAACAATATTGCAGCAACTGGTGTATTTTCTGCCTAACAAATGTAGGCAAAATCACGTTTAGGTTGGCCCATAAAACGCTTTTAGGTTTGTGTCTGAGGTGCAGATTTCACATGTTTCATTCTCTGTCATCTTTTCTAGTCGGCTCTTTCTTTTGTTGTTTTTTTTAAGCCATAACTTTCATGCATTTTTGCATCTTTTTCCTTCCTAGCGATACAGCAATTCAACAATCGTACAATTAATAAATACAGCCTAACACGGAGGGAATTAGGTCAAGTTGGTAAATGTCCTTATTCGTTCTTTTTTTCTTTCTTCTTGATTCAATAATAAATGTATCATCAAATCGGTTTATGCATCAATGAAAATTAAATTTTCATTGGATGATTTTAAAGATGTTTCTCTAAACTAACCTGATTTCTAAACGCAGACCTCAAAATCTAAATCCAAAAAAGGAAAAAAAAAAAAAAGATTACAGAATTAAGTGATAACTTGATCCTTTGCTTTTTCTCTGCCTTTTTATTTTTTTATGGAGTATTTATTAGTGTTTAAGCTCTCAAAACGAATATTCTAATAAATAATAAAGACTCGATCGACATAGTCCTAGATAATTATCGTCAATACATATAGCAACAATCAGTTTAAGAGTGATAATAACCTTTTACTTATCTAATATTAGTGTCCTTCCGAAAAATTTCGAGTAGTACGCATTGAAAAAATTAAATATTACACATCTGTCTTGATTTTTCCATGAATTTTGAGTGTTTTGATCATTTTTCACCATTTAGATCATACTGGTACTTTTCTTAATTTTTTAGAGCAGTTGAAGAAAAAAGAACAAAAAAAAAAAAAAATAGAGAAAAGACTAGAAGAAAATAACCAAAGCAAAAAAAGCTAGAAAAAAAAAACAAAAAAATCCCAACAAAAAGAAAGAGAGGAAAAGAAAGGTTAAATATAGGTATGTAATCGAGAAAATTAAAAAAAGGATGAAGGATTAATGAAAGATATTGAACCATCTATTAAGGGGCAAAAATGAGGAAAAACAAAAGTTCAAGGACCAAAACATAAAAGACAGATATTTTAGGATTAAAAATGTTTGGTTTAATGAAAAGGTGCCTTTTTTTTTTTTTTTCCCAAGTTTTCATGAATTTTCTTGAGTTTTCAATAATCTGATTAGATTCTTTTCGACTTCAACATCCACTTATTTCAAATCAAGAATAAGGCTTTAACCGATTAAATCTCAATTCACTCGATTAATTCGTTTTCACTCATTGGCAAACAACCCAAATCTAGACTTGTGTCATAACAAAAATCAATAATGATATTTAGATTTACATGCGCTACAACTTCTTTCTGGTAGGATATTGAAAGATAATTGGTATCTTCTCTTCATGTATCCTACCTCTTATTTTTTTATTTTTTTTAGAAGGCCAGTACGTTATTAACATTTTTTAATTACCTTTAATCCTAAAAGAAGATTTCTTTTTTTATTATTTTTTTATTCTTTACCTATTTTCAAGCTCACCGTTTGAATGTCCACACATGGCAAACATTATCCTTTTAGACTTTGAACGTTGAATTAATAGACCTGTTATTGGTCTTAGGATCGTGGAGTTAATTACATTAGATCTAAGTTTGGTTTATTGATGTAAGATATTTTAAATTTTGAATTAGATTTTCAATCCTTTGGGGTATCACTTTTATGGAGTTTATTATTGTTTTTTGTTACCAAATGTCTGTGGCGTTGTAACAAAAGGAGTATTATGTATTTCAGTTCGGGAATGGGATAATTTAATAGTATGAGAATCGGTCATAGCCAGTGTGGGAACTAAGTGCTATAAGAAACAAAATCATATGAGCTAGCTACCTCCAGAATCATGCACAACCTAGGCTCGATGCTGGACTATTATGATTGTGGAGTGATGGGAACGTTGCATATTTAAGACGAAAAGAATGTGATGCTTCACATTCTACATTAATGGTGAGTTATGAGAAATTTGAATAAGATATAAGAAAGGATTTATCGTTTTATGCAAGCCATGTGTGAAGACAAAAATCCACAACTTTATATATAAGGGAAAAAAAAAAAAGAGAGAGGGTGCATAGTGACAACATCGTTGGTTTGCATTCCTTTACTCAACGTTAGCAAGTAGAGATATGCACTTCACTAAAATAGAGTTCAAAGACCCTAGAGGCTCATGTGTAGGGATGATAGTGGGACGAGTACAAAATATGTATCCTATACAATCAATCTATTAATTACCCTTTTAAAAAATTTTAATAGGAAATAGATTAAATATGGGTAAAAGAATATTACCTATTTATGTTAATGGATAATTTATTCATGAATATGAGTATCCTCTTTATACTTTATTGATACCTACTTTTTATCCATTAACGTAAAAAATATATATATATACACTAAAACACAAAATTTTAAAATAAACAAAAGAAAAAAACAATTTTTCTTACTAATAAATCAAAAGCATAACATATATATAGTGTGTGTGTGTGGATAAATTTTAAGTCGATCTTATAAAGAATTCCTATATAGATAGAGTTTAAAAGTATTAATAAACAAAATTTTAATTTACTAACGAGTAAATATTTGAAAACCTCATTTTGATGCACATTCATAGTAATAAATGAATCAACTTTTATGTTGACCAAAAATGGTGAGATATTTAGAGTATGTTTAGCATGATTTATGAAAAGTAATTTTTCATTTTGGATCATAAATAAAAAAAATTGTTTTTTCATGAACAACGTAAGAACAAAAATGAATTAAAATTTAAAAAAAATGACTTCAAATTAAAAGTACAAGTTGCAATTCATAAGTTGAAAGTTAAAAAATTTTAACTTTTAATTGAATCAAATTTTTTACGTAATTTTGTAGCAAATTTTAGATTTAAATGAAAATTTATTTATAAAGAAATATACTTATGACCTTTTTTAGTGAAAAATTAACAAACAATAATCAATTTACAAAAATCATACTAACATAATTTTATTTAAAATGTTGTTCCTAAGATATATATATATATATATATATATAAGTACCGTCTTGTTGTTTTCAAGCACTAGACAATTTTTCTGATTTAATAATTTTCTTTCCAAAATTGTTTCCATTTTAAATACACATAATACATACTCTTGCACTGGTTCTTGCAGCAAGAATGGCTCTCTTTTTTGAAGTAGCATTTCACAAGGATTAAGTCCTCAAATCCTTTCAGCCTACATAAATCACAAAATATAAATATGAGCAATTATATATATATATATATATATATATATATATATATATATATATATATATATATATATATATATATAATCTTACTAAATAAAAAAAGTCTATACAAACAGAGTCTGTAACCAAAAAAAAATTGAAAAAAAAAATCTTCAATTTAAGAAAAAAAAATTAGCAGATAAACGGATATAGACAAGATATGAGCAAGATATAATATAATGAGTATGAGCTACATACAAAAATGAGCTAAGTGATTTTTAGTAGGTAAAGGATATAGTATTTTCTAATAGATAAGATATGAGATTGGCTTAATGGATCAAGTACCAAGCCCATTGTCATTCCTCCGTCATGCGGTATTAAATTTTATTAAAAACATTCTTGTGATTTCAATTTAAATAATTAACTCCTTGTGATTTGATCGATTAGGGAGGAGAAGTCCTTTCGTCCAT